TACATTAACTATATTGAGGGAAGGAGCAAACTAGACGGCCATCCATAAATATCCATTCCAGTTTGAAGACATTCAGTAAAAAAAACTGAGAAAAGAATGTTAGCCGAGGATGAAGAAAAAGGGAGCAGAGTTACTTACTCTTTGATTTTGTCTTTGCATTTGTCATCAGACACCTACTTACTATTAGCATTGTTTTGGACTTCAGCAAGGAGTTCATCCACAAAACTCCAGAACTGGTGATTTCTCCATATTCTTTTAGTCACCCATTTTTTATTTTTAACTGGCTGCTCGCTCGTGGTGAAATCATTGTCATCAGCTAGTAGATCCTCATTGTTGATTGGTTGGTGGTAATCCTCTTCTCCTTCATATGCAAATGGACCATCACTGTTGTGAGTGTGAGTCAGAGAAGGCAGTCAGGCAGGTGAAAAGCCATTGGCATCTTGATGTTGAGATGATCATGGAGTGTGTGGAGCTGTGATAATCTGGATCCTATTACTATATGTAACGACCAAAGTTTGTATACTCTGGCACACAACAAGAACAAGCAGTGAGGCGTGAGTGAAGGAGAGGTTAATCTCTCTTAGGGTAGGACCAAGTGTGTTGTGTTCCATAGAGACATGATAGAACAGCTATGGATGAGGGAATTGTGGGGCATCTGTTGTACAGATGCTGCAGGTATGGTGCATGAGCTATCAAATGTTTTTGAACCTGTATTCAAAGACAAATAGTGTTACAATAACACAATTTTTGGACCTTTCCTTTAATTTTCATTCTCCGCTTTAACCTTTTACTATAAGTTCACACTCCGTGCCATGCGGCACTTTCCTTTTTCGTTCTAACTCCACCTTCTCGTGCAGCGCTGCCTTTATTCTTCTTTGAGACACAAACTCTCTCATGCAGTGGAGCTGGTCACATGGGCTGCACCCTCTGACATCACCAGCCACTGCTTTTATCAACTGTACAGTACATAGGTACAAATACTCTGTATTAGTATAAATACCCCAATAGATCAAGGAGACTCCTCAGTGAGTCCTCCTGTTGTTAACCAACAAACTCTCTGTAGCTTAAGGGGTAACCACTCCCTATTCACTACCTTTATAGTGTGTTCCTGTGTGCGCCAGAGTAACTAACTCTTGGTTGTTACATTAATGAATTTGCGGACAGCGTTGCAAGAGTTATCCAGATGGGCTTCTGGCTCCCATGTTCCGTCCTCGTCTCCGTAGCCCTTCCATAGGACTAGGAACTCTAATTTTCCACGCTTCAAGCGTGCATCCACCACCCGTTCAACTTCAAACTCTTCTTCACCTTCTTGGGTGACTACAACCGGGCCGGACCGGTCTACACGCTGTCCCGGCAGCGGCCCTTTGTAGGGTTTCACACAGCTGATATTGACTGTGGGTACTACCCTCATTTGTTTTGGGAGCTCCAGCTCCACTGCATTGGGTTTGACTTCCTTAATCTGATAAGGACCAATCCACTTTTTGGTCAGTTTTCTAGACTGCCAATCTTTCAATTTTAAGTGGTCAGTATCTAACCAGACCAGGTTGCCAACCCTGTAGTCAGGGGCCTTAGAGCGTCTACACTCTGCCCTGTCTTTCATCTGCTCTGCAGTTTTAAATAGCGCCTTGCGCGTTTTGTCTAAGACAGACTTCATGTCTTTTGCCATGTTCCCAGCAGCCTCGTTCTTGCTTTTGCCAGGTTCTACACCCATTCTGGGGAGGTACAATCTTGTAACCTTGAATGGTGCCTTTCCTGTAGCCGACGACTGTTTAACATTATATGAGAACTGGGCTATCTTTAGCCACTTGGCCCAATCCATCTGCCTGTTATTAATAAATATACGGAGGTATTGCTTCAATTCCTGGTTGAGTCTCTCTGTTTGTCCATCAGTCTGTGGATGGAACACCGTTGATAATTTAGGTTTAATGCCCAGCATCCGGCATAGTTGTTTTGTAAATTTGCTAGCGAATTGTGGTCCTCTATTGGAGATAACCATTTCTGGCAACCCATGGATAGACCATACAAAATCTTTAAATAAATCTGCTGTACCAGCGGCGGTAATAGTTTTGTTGGTGGGTATAAACACTACTTCTTTGGAGAAGCAATCTACTACCACCATTACTGAATCATACCCATTTGACTCGGGCAGATCCGTCGTAAAGTCAACCAATATATCTTGCCAAGGACCAGCTGGTATCGGATTTGGCATAAGTTTACTGGCCGGCGGTTGATGAGAATTCTTAGCCATGGCACATCTCAGACAGGAATTTATGTATTCCTGTACGTCTTTGACCATGCCAGGCCACACGTAGTTTCTGGAGATCAACTCCATTGTTCGTTGCCATCCAGGGTGCCCAGCCACTGGAGTGTCATGATGTCTATCTATTGCCTTGATCCTTGCGGACTCAGGCACATAGATTTTATCTTTAAAATGAAAGAGCCTGTCTTTCCATAGATAGTTTTCATTGCCATCAAGGCGCGCCTTCTCTTCTGAGGAGATGTCTTTTTTGAAGACTTCCAGAAGATCAGAATCCTGCCCAATTCTAACATTGGCAACCCTTGATTAGTCTATCAAGGTAACACCTTTGTTATCATCTTCTATGCCGTTGGCATGATCCTCTCTCCTGGATAAAGTGTCCGCTTTCCCCATAGAGCTTCCAGGCTTATGAATTAATTTATAATTAAACCTTGACAAGTACACCGCGTAGCGGGCCTGTCTTCGGTTCAGGTCTCGGGCCGTCATAAAATACTCCAGGTTCTTATGATCGGTCCAAATTTCAAATTGGTGCCTAGCACCTTCTAAGTAGTGCCGCCAGTGCTTTAAGGCTCTAATGATGGCTAGCATCTCTTTGTCGTAAATTTGATAGTTGTGCTCTGTAGGCGACAAACTATGTGATAAATAGGCACAAGGCCTCCAAAGATCATCAGGGCATTTAATTGACAGAACAGCCCCAGTAGCAAAATCAGAAGAGTTGGTTTCTAGCCGGAACTCTTTGTCTAATTCTGGAAATGCTAGTATGGGCGCTGTTGTAAATGCCTGTTTAAGCTTATCAAAAGCTTCTTGTTCCTTGGTGCCCTAATGCCAAGTAATGTCCTTTTTAGTGAGATCGTTCAACGGTCTTGTGATTTTTGCAAAGTTTTCAATAAACCTTTGGTAGAAATTGCCTAAGCCAAGGAAGGCCCTAACTCCTTTGATGCAAGTAGGCTCTGGCCAATCCAATATAGCTTGAACTTTCTTAGGATTCATCCTGATTCCGTTCTGGCCTATGATCATACCGAGGAAGTCTACTTCCTTTACTTTAAAATTACATTTTTCGTGTTTGATGAGTAGGTCCCGTTCCTGTAAGCGTCGAAGGACTTCTTGCACAATCCTGTCATGCTCAGTCTCATTGTCTGACTTTGTAAATATTAATAAATTGTCAATGTAAATGATGACACAGTTTTCCATATCCGCAAAGATCTCGTTCATTATGCTCTGGAAGGTTGCCGGTGAGTTGGTCAACCCAAAGAACATAACAAGGGGTTTGAAGAATCCTCGGTGGCACATGAACGCGGCCTTCCAAGCATCCGCTTCTTTGATTCGTACATTATTGTACCCCCATCTGAGATCCATCTTTGTCAAGATCTTGGCACCAGCCAATTTGTCTACTAGCTGACTGATCAAAGGCAGCGGATACGCATTTTTAACCGTGTGCTCATTCACGTAACGATAGTCCATAATCATACACTTTTTTCCATCCTTTTTAGGAATGAAGAACACCGGGGACATCATAGGGCTTTTGGAAGGTCTGATGTAACCCTTCCTAAGCTGCTCATCTATGAAGCTAGAAACCTCATCTCTTTCTGGAGCAGAGAGTGGTATCATATGTTCTTTTCTCGGTTTGAAAGTGTCCTTCAAGTCTATAGCATGGTCCCAAGGCTTAGCCTCTGGGAAGCGCTCTGTCTTATGTTTAGAAAAGACTTTCCAGAAGTCATGGTACTTGGGAGGTACCAGCCTCTTAATCTCTTCTTCGGGTTTTACCTCATCATTGTCATTGTCAATCTTTTCTAAAGATCTGAGCTCATAAACGTGACCAACATTTATCTTTTCAAGATGCTTATTGTGATGGACGTGACTCGGCTTACCCAAGTTCACACATTCTTGAGGGCAACATGACAATGTGACAACCCCTGTCTGCCAGTTGATCTCAGGATTGTGTTTAAATAGCCAGGTCCAGCCTAAGATTAAATTAATCTTCCCTAGTTGGGCAGCTTCGGTGAGTCGTTCTCTGTGTCTTTGGTATTTGACAACAAAGGAACATTTGTGTGTGATGCAGCCACCTGCGTTAAGTGTACCGTCAACATTATAGACGGGAATAGATACATCTAATTTTACAAGGGGAAGTCCAATCTGCTTTGCCCAGACCTGGTCTATGAAAATTCTGTTAGGGCCTGAATCAAGCAGTGTGCTTGTTGGGTGTACTATGCCCTGGGCAAGGTTTTCCACACCAACATCTAACTGGATCTCCTTTTGGAATAAATATGTGTGCATCAACACACACCTTGCGATTTCGGGAAAGGGTGGCTCCAATGAAGAGGAAGAACTTTTGAAAGCTACATGTTTTTCTATTTTATTTTTACCAGAATCAAGCACCCTATTGTTTGTCTTGCCGGGGCCACGCTCCAAGGGAGACGCTGGTGCAGCGGTAGTATCATAAATATTACAGTCACAATGCTTCATACAAGTACAAGTCTCAGATAACAAATTTAGAAATTTATTTACAAACTGGGGAGCCATCCCCATCTTTCCTTTATTGCTCGTGCAACACCCCGGAGCAGGGGCCACCTTATTGTGCTTTACTTCATTGTTCATAGGAGCAAAGGCACCCAAGTGACCTAAGCTCCAAACTCTTTTCCCTGAGCCTTCATTTCATTGACCTGTTAGTCATAGAAAAAGGCCTGGATTTTGTTGTACGAACAACCGGCCAAAGAGTTGAGTCAATCATTTGGTTTTTCGGTTTCTAATTGGCACGCCTGGCACCCTTGATTATTTTTTTGTTGAGCGGCCTGCGCTCCATTTCTACAATCTTGTGCCATGTGCCCCTCCTGCCCACAGTTGAAGCAGGTGAATCTGCGCTTTTGTCCGCCCTGGACCGCACCAATATCCATTGGAGCACCCCGACCTGGTTGCAGCCCAAACGGCTGGAACCCATGAGAGTGATGTTGTTTTGGTTTGATGACCCAGGGTGCCTCTGGGAAAAGTTGTTTTTGGTGGTGGACCTGCCACCTTGGTGCATCTTGTAGAGCTCTATGGCCCTACCTATCTTTCGAACCTCCGCTGCTTCGGAGAGGTTCTCATTTCTCATATCCTGCAGGTAAAGCTGTTCTGCAATGTGGGGGTTCACATTGCATTCCAGCAGCTCCACTGCATGTTCATTTCCAAGACCCCCTTGGATGGAGAGGGCCAGGAACCGGGTTACAAAATCATCCATCCTCATGTTGCCTTGTTTGAAGGAACAGATTTGCTGATGCGCCCAGTCACGCTTAACTTGCGGTTTGAAGTATTTTTCGATCTCTACCTTGAGATTGTCCCAGGTGTGCCACACTCCCGCAGTGTAGCACTCCTGCATTCTAACTTGGGCGTATCGACCCGCCACAGGTCCCTTTAGTCAAGATAGCACCTCAGTGGCTACCTCAAAATTGTTGGCAAATGCATCCCAATTTGCCTTGACCCAAATTTGAAGCTTGATCCACCATTTGGCGAATTGTGCTCTGTCTCCTTCGAAGGCGCCAGGGTCAGCAATGACTTCGACTTTCTTGTTGAACTTTTTCTCAACCGAGGGGGTTGCTGCAGGGGGGTTCGCCTGCAGCTCGGCGAGTTGCGTGGTTAATGCCAAGATCTGCTGCCGCATGTTGTGCAACAGAGCATTAACATCTTGGGGTTGCAACAACATGTCGACTTGTTCTCTTTGTAAAGTAAATGAAAAAACATAACTGGGGGTCCCCGCTTGCTATCTGTGGATCTACCTCTTCCCAGCTGAGCATCAGGTCTCAATCCCCAACTACCCACACTATAGTATTTGAAAATGTATATAAAAGATATTTGTAAGAAACCCTGGTCCGAACGGTTGTCAGGAGGTGGTCCGCTTGTTAAGCTGTCAACCCTTCTCCAGACTGGCGGAGGCAAGTGCCTGGCCTGGTCAGAGGTATTCGAAGAGGAAAGTATGTATTTCTAAATGTAATCAACAGAGGTTCCACACCAGCTGCTGAGCTATAGTACTCGCCTTAACGCTGGGGGCCGCGTTGTCGATGATGAGAACTGTTGTTAGAAAACCACACACAAAAACAAACTAACAAACAATCCTCCCAGATTCCACGGAACTTGTTTATGGGCTTTGCCTCCTAGAACAGTGGGTGCTCTGGTTGTTCGTGGGGTGGTATGTATGAAGATCCTTCAAAGTAAAACTCAGAGATGTATGGGTGTGGGTTTTGAGGAGGAGGGATAGTTGAATTTATAGATGATAGGGGCTTAGTAACGAGTATAGATGAGCACTACCTTGCTAATTGTAGCACAAGGTAGGTTTGAGAACGACAAGGATGAAGAGGTGACAAGGTTTCCAGTGATAGCAGGCTCCTGCCACACAAACTGTAGTGCTCAGAAGGACTCTAATTGAAAGGGATGACAATGACTTCAAAAGTGGGAAGTGACGATGACAGCAGTTAACAGTGGTAGCAGTGGGAAGTGTTGTGACCACACTGGATCACAAGTAGCAGTAAGAAGTGGACTTAAGATTAGAGAAGAAGTCTGGAATCGAGTGCTTTGTTGATTTACAAGATAAAATACAGGGGTTTATATAGTGAAAAGAAAGGTAGGCTATGCACAGTATAGCTGCGCAAAAAGAATGAGAAAGAACATGAAGGAAAGAATGTACGCTGACGAATCCTGCGTAGTTGGTACATGATAAGATCGTCAAAATAAGGGAAAGAAAGAGATAGAACAATGAATGCTATGTAAGTAACGGTACAGGTTTGTACAGTCATAAAAATAAAGTCCAATAAGAGAAAAAGAGCAAGAAAATTGTGATGTCATAAGAAGATGCAGTAAAAAGAGTATAAAGAAAAAAAACAATATCAGTATCAACACAGTTCCTTTATTGTCAGTCAGGCATTCTAAAAAAATATGTGTCCATAAAATGATTCAAAAATCAAAATAATCAATAATCGCACTGTAAATGAATGTTCTGCTGAAAAAAAAGAAACTGGAGCCACTGGTCCACCACCTAGTCCAAATCTGACAATTCCATGGCTTTACCAATGGACTGGTTGTAATGGACCACCTGGTCAAGCGAGGGAGGGAGGGGAGTAGTTCCAATTTGGAACAAGTGAGTCCCAGGCAGAGTGTGGTAGCTGTAGCTGTAGCGAAGATGATGGACGAAAGATAAGTGTACCCAAGTGAATGGGACAGCAATGAACATGGGCAACGCAAGGGGATGAACCTTCTCCAGCTCAAAAACTACCCACCCACGCTCCAACCAGGCGAGACGAGCGACCGATGTTTTGATGGTATATGATGGCAGATCAATGTCATGAAGATGGACCTGTTGCCCTATTTGGACCGGCCGCCGGGGCTTTGCTGATATCAGCAGTGGCACGTGGTAGTCAACAGATCAGCGACGGAAGCGGATAGGAAGTAATGATATCAGAAATGGTGGGGGTGCAAATAAGATGAGGAGAAGGAGGGTGGAGGTGATGAGTAGGTGAACTAAAATGGGGATCCAGAAATGACCGTCAGGTGAGAATAAAAAAGAGAGGAAGGGGCCCATGGTGGGGCTAAGAAAAGGAAGGGGAGTGAAGGAAACGGACAAAAACGAGGGCGCAATGCAATGTGTAGCCAATGGCGACACAAAAATTTGCCGAAATGCCGAAATGCCGAAAGTACCGAATGGAAAAGCAAAGGTGAGCATGAATGAATTGCCTAATAGAGGTGGTGCTGATCAGCCACAGATTTGAAAAAAGCAATATTAATTACTATTCCACGTGGCACTGTGCCTGTGTGGCACAAAGGCGAGTCTTTTTGAATATTCGCTTCATTTTTGACACCTGTCCATGCTACCAATCAATTTTGGTGCATGACAGCGTATCAAAGGTATTGTTTCTTCTCCCAAAGCACTACAAGGCTGTCACGAAGAGCGCACCTATTTGCTATGTGGAATATTCCCAAACAATAACCAAATCTCCTTCACCCTGGAGTCCGGGTGCCCAGTGGGACTTTTGCACAAACGTGCGAGAGAGTAGAAGAGCGAGTCCAAATGTAACAACCAAGAGTTAGTTACTCTGGCGCACACAGGAACACACTATAAAGGTAGTGAATAGGGAGTGGTTACCCCTTAAGCTGCAGAGAGTTTGTTGGTTAACAACAGGAGGACTCACTGAGGAGTCTCCTTGATCTATTGGGGTATTTATACTAATACAGAGTATTTGTACCTATGTACTGTACAGTTGATAAAAGCAGTGGCTGGTGATGTCAGAGGGTGCAGTCCATGTGACCAGCTCCACTGCATGAGAGAGTTTGTGTCTCAAAGAAGAATAAAGGCAGCGCTGCACGAGAAGGTGGAGTTAGAACGAAAAAGGAAAGTGCCGCATGGCACGGAGTGTGAACTTATAGTAAAAGGTTAAAGCGGAGAATGAAAATTAAAGGAAAGGTCCAAAAATTGTGTTATCATAACAAGTAGGGTCTAGACTTATGCAGCATTAAGCTTGTGATACAATGGGGGTATAAAAAATCTCTGTGTTCACTCTTACAACGGTTTGGGCGTGCTGCACAGGATCTGAACATTGAAGCAACTGCAATTTATTTTGTTGAACAATGGCACTTTGATAGCCATATTCAATTGTCCAAGAGAACAAATACGGAGGATCAGCAAAAGCCAGCACAAAAGCGGCACAAAACTCACCATGAAGATGATGGGGGTCCATTGAACAAAGAGCCGTTTGTCAAGGCCAAGCCTGAGGAGGGCAGTGGCAATAGTGGTGGTGATGGGGATGTAGTGATGGCACCTGTAGAGAGTGAGACAATAGGGAAATTATGCCATATTCATTCAAGCAGATTCTCTCACCTTGAGTTGGCATCCAGCTCCAAGTCTAGGACCAGAATCCTACTGGCCAATCTTCCAGCTGCAGAGCTTGGGGTGGTGGTGATGGATATTTTTATTAATTCATGCCTGTGCCAACACTGCATTGTTGACGAATATTTTGCAAATCCTGATGGTATGTTGTATCAGTTGCTTTATAATAAAGAAAAATAGCTTACCTGCAGTGAAGAACACAGTGAGAACAATGGCGACAGGTGTGAGTGTGAGAGATGCAGCCATTGTTTGTCGCGGCTTGGTTGCAATATTTGCAACCGGGACTTGTGTGTCCTGTTTGCCCTACTATCGCCGCCTCAGTTAACGTGTGCTGAACACAAGATGAAAATAAGAAGAAGAGGTTGTGTAAAGCTTGTGGGAGCACCACTCATATCTGTGTGTTGTACCACCACAGTGACCAGCTGGCAAGTACTCATATATTCTTAGCATCAGATCACCTCTGCCCAAAGTATGGCTCCATCCCATCAAAGCCCCGGAAGACACAGAATTATGCCAATGACAAGAATGTTAAGCCTGCACAAAATGGGGAGCATACAGCAGTGTAAAATAGGTCAGTCTACAAGGTCGGCACCAGTTATTTCAACACTCTCACTATTGCCCTCCCCAGATGTAGATACTCCTAATCCTTTTTTTTCTATAATTCCAAAGCCGCTTGCTACCTTATCATCAACAGAAAATTGCAACTTATGACGGGCAGTAAACTTGTGTGGTTTAGTCTCTAAAAGCCGCTTTGTAAGTTTTTCAATTGTCTTGGTTATATCTGGTGGTTGGTGGCGGATTGTATGGTGGAGGAGGTGGAATACATTTTCAACAATAACACGGCAGTGACGGAAGACTTCAATAAGAGGTGACTGTTTGATGATATGGTCTATTGTGAGATTTGAAGCCAATTGTGATAAAATTATCTAGGATACAGGGATATCAAGTAATGCTATATTTCTATAGTTCTCTTCTGACCTTTGTGTACAGGTTATTCCGCTCCACTAGCCAATCAATGGCATGTCATGCCCCAGTCACACCCTTTGGATTGCTCAGCAGGTTAAGGCGTATTAATTGACTGGGAACAATTTAGTTCATGAATGTCTTTCACTGAAGCAAGCTCACCTCAAATCTGGAGGGTATCAATAGCAAAGGTCACATAAAAATTTGCTTATTTGTGCTGCATACTTATGCTTCCCAACAGCAATAAAAATATGTATCCATGGCAAGAACGAGGCCTCAACACAACCCACATCTCCAGAATTCATGGCATGGCATAAATCAACATACATGAGCTCATCACAATTGTGAAGGTGTTGGTTTTCATACACTTTGTCACACTTCTGAAAAGGTTTGCTGTGTTCTTTACGCAAATCAGAACTGGTCCCAACATACTTGGCCACAATTGCTTTGAACATGTCAACTATGTCCTCCCATGTGGGTTTTGTAGTTGCAAACAGCTCAATTGATGAGCACTGTGGATGTCTTTTGGTAATCTTATGTTGCCAGCAGTTAAGCATTAATGCTGTCAAATCATGGTGCACAATGTTGTGCATACACCTGAATCCAGGCTTGCTGATGAATTTTCCTGTTTCTTTAGAATGCAGCATGCCAATGTGCTCATACAAGCTATTTGGGTCGCTTCAAGAGTCTGCAGGCTGCAGGTACGTCCACCAGATTGCATCAGCACATTGTGAAGCAATATTATATATAACAAAAACAGTACCCATCTCTGTCTGCACTTGCAGGGAGTAAGAGGTACAATGAGTTTGAGGTCAACAGATGCTTAGAGATTATAGTAAGTAGAGGACTGAGAATAAACTCAAGGGTTTTTGATGAGGAGTAAAGCAGGTTATTTCAGTAATAAAAAGCTAAAGAACAATACATGAGTATGTAGGGTTTTTATAGCTAATTGTCTATGTTTCAGACCAGAAATAGAATAAAAGGAAAAGTAGCCTGAGGATAAAACTATCAAATAAGAAAAAGAACAACTATGCTACGACTTCAGGGATTAATCAGCAGGTGAGAAAATCTACTGATAATAGGTAGTGTCAGGCATGTTCAGGAACCGTATCCTCATGATGAGGTACAATCCTGACTAAAGTGTCTATTAATATTTCCAGGCACTGATGGGACCTGGAGCTGGTTGGCGAGATCTCAGCTACTAGTCCTTACCCATTGTGCTGGCTGGCTGGGAGTACTACCCAGTTTCTGATCTGCGATATGAAGTGGTAGTGATGGTTACAAAAGCCTGTTAGGGCTATGAGAAGCAAGGTGGCAAAGGATACCTCTAGCCCTAGAGCCAGAGGTGTAATGGGGAAAGTGTCTGAGAACCAAGACATGAAATGAAAAGATAAGAAAACGTAAATGGTCCTTACACACATGCCATGTTATAATGGAAGAGCCCTGGCAGAAACACAATGTATTAAAACTGATCCTTTGGTGTTCTTTCAATGTGGCGAGAATGGAGAACAGCATCAATCTGCTTTTTTGTGAGTAAGTCCCCATTGTTACGATACACAATTTTTGGACCTTTAATTTTCATTCTCCTATTCAACTTTCTTTCTTCTATAGTTTTCACACACTATGCCATACAGCACTTTCCTTTTGTTCAAACTCCACCTTCTTGCGCTGCACTGCCTTTGATTTAATTTTAGATACAAGTATCTCACGCAGGGGAGCTGGTCACACGGGTTGTGCCCTCTGACATCATCAGCCACTGCTTTTATCAACTGTACAGTACATAAGTACAAATATGCTGTAGTAGTATATAAACCTCAATAGATCCAGGAGACTCCTCAGTGAGTCCTCCTATTGTTCACCACAACTAACTCGGTCCTTTCCTAAGGGTAACCACTCCCCTCACAACCTTTGAAGCTTTGTCTGAGTTGTGCGCCAGAGTAACCAACTCTTGGTTGTTACACCCATGGACAAAGAGAACATGTTTTGGCATGTCCTTGTCATGATTAGGATCAAAATCCTCATCACCCAGATCCCCAATACCACCTTGCCTTAGTAGATTCTCCAAGACTTCAATATTGCCATCCGATGTAGACTGTTTTGTTTCTATGGCACAACAAGGTATCTGATCTGTTTTATGCAGTGGGATTTGGGTTAGAGGGTCTGGCTCAGCAAGCTGACTTGCAAAATGTCCCAAATTTCCACTGTGAGCAACCAGAATATTGTGAACATGCCATGCAAATACTTGAAGGTGTGGGCCAAATATTTGGCCGGATAGTCTCTTATTGTAAGTATTGTCCTTGTACAGTTGTGCAATGTCAACAGTATCACTGATTGGTTCTGTTGCATTGGGATTCAATGGATCATGCTCCCATAATATGGCTGGACATTTCAGCATTGTTGGGTCCATGATGCCATATATTGGCACAATAGTAGCAGATGTGGTGCTAACGAAGGTGGTTTGGTGCTCCATAGTAGGTTGCGCAGTTTGGAAATTAATATCAAAATTGTTGTAAGCACAAGCTGACTGCATAGACCACATAGCTTGTTTGATTCAACTTAATATCCCATGTGACATAGAGTCCACTGTCTGATGGATTGATGTAACATTGACAGACAAGCCAGCGTGTTCAAGGACCTTAACAACTTTCTTGGGGGCCCCAGTTGAGTACAGGAAGATACCAAGGAGACCTTGCAGGTAATTGCATCTCTTGTTTACACTCTGTATGAAGATACTAATACAAACAACAGCTTTCTGAGTGAGTCCCCATTAATTTTCATTCAAGGCCATTTTTGGACATTCTCACCACAAGAAAAAGTGCCTTTTTCTAATCCTCTGCTTGCTTTGCTCGGCACCTATTTTTTTCACCACTCTTGCTGGCTATCAAGTTGTGATCTCTGGTATGTTGTTCATTCATTTCCTCCTTGTTATCACTTTCTGACTCTTTTTCCTCATCATCACCTCCAATTTCACCAAGATCCATCTCTGCCTCATTCACTAGGATATCTGAGGCTTTCAAGTTGTTTCCCAAGAGGGCCATCATCAAACCCCAAAGGTTTGGGGTGATGGTCTTCATCTTCTGTGAAATTAACTGCATGAATTCCCCCTTTAGTTGCTCCAATGTGGCTGCTATTGCACAAAAGTGTAAGTTGTGACACTGGTGAGTGAGCTCTTTAACCTCTCTACATAAGCAAGACTTGACAGTATCCATTGCCCATGCAAAGACGTTCTGCCTAGTTGATGTATAGCTATACAAGACTCTACAGATGTCTTCAGCCTCTTGGACAATCATTTCTTGGGTGCCACAATGAGTAAGAGGTTGACTGTTAAGGATTTCATAGAGAAGTGATGACAAAGTAGCATTTTTTTGTTTTAAAATGTACAAGATGTTGTTGATACCCTCCAAGGAGATAATCTGAGCTGTCTAAAGGATTTAAAAAGTGTGCCATTCTAACTGTCTCTTCCCCCTACACATTGACTCTGCATGTTCAAACTTACTTACCAATTTTGGTGCCAGTAACTTTATGCTGCTCCGTATGGCCGGTTTTCTTTTGGCAGGAGCACCATTTCTTACAGGGTGAATAAATAAACTTAAACATTCAGCCACAGCAAAGTTTGCCAGTTGGCTTGGGGTGCTATCCTCAACACTAAATTATTTATTATGTAATTGAATGTGGCTACACTATGATGTAGGAAAACACCCCACCAAGTGGTTGGAGTTTGTCCATGTGGCACTTTCCTTGTGTTCAGACTCCACCTTCTTGCACTTCACTGCCTTTTTTTATTTTTAGCTACAGGTCTCTCACACAGTGGAGCTGGTCACACGGGCTGTGCCCTATGATATCATCAACCACTGCCTTATCAACTGTATAGTACAACAAGTACAAAAAACCTGTAGTAGTATATGTACCCCAATGGATCCAGGAGACTCCTCAGCGAGTCCTCCTATTGTTTACCCACAACAAACTTGGTTCTACCTTAAGGGAGAATATCCTCTCCTCTCCTCACCATTCTCTGCCTGTTTTTGTTGTGCACCAATGTATACAAATTTTGGTTGTTACATTAGGACTTGCTCTTTCTACTCTCTTGCACTTTGTGCAAACCTGGACCACAGGGTTAAGTGAAGTCTTTCAAACAGTAAGACTTTGGTGCCAGTTGGTGTTGAGCTTTTGCTAGCCGCGGAAACAAAGTGTGTGCCCCAATCCTGCAGGCAAGCTGCCCAGGACGAGGTACTAGAGAGATCAAATCAAACATTACACGGCCCCCAGTGTCAAGGGGAGTACTATAGTATAGCTCAACAGTGGTGTGGAACCATTGTTGATTAGATTTATGTACATTAAGTTCTTCTTAGGATACCTCTGACCAGGCTGGGCACTTGCCTCTGCCAGTTGGAGAAGGGTTGACAGCTTAATAAGCAGACCACCCCCTGACAACTGTTTGGACCAGGGTTTAGCTACTATAAATTTTATATACTTTTTCAAATACTATAGTGTGGGTAGTCAAAGATTGAGACGTGTTACTCAGCTGGGAAGTGGTTGATCCACAGATAGCAAGCGGGGACCCCCAGTTACCTTTTTTTTACTTTACCAAAGAGAAGAAGTCAGCATGTTGTTGCAAACCACCCAACCTGATGTCAATACTCTGTTACACAATATGCGTGCACAGGTTTTGGCATTGACCACGCAGCTTGCTGAGCTTCAGACAAACCCCCCTGAATTGGTTGAGCAAAAATTCAACAAAAAGGTCAAGATCATCGCTGACCCTGGCGCTTTCAAAGGAGATCGGGCTCAATTCGCCAAATGGTGGATCAAGGGCCCTGAGGGTACTAGAATTTTTGATTGAACCAATTAGTGAATTATCTTAAACAGGCACAGTTTCTTCTTCTGGGGTGACACTTTCAACAGCAGTTTTTGATTCATCGGTATTTCCATCTAGATCTTCTCTATTAAAGTCATAGTCCATGACTTAAGAGGCTGGATACTGTATTGGATACTCCAGATACTGGTTTGACATAGTGAATAGGACAATGATCTGATGATGCCTTGACTTCAAAAGCAGGGTTTTCAATTTTTCCATCCTTTCTGAAGATGAGATAAGTGTATTTAAGTCTCTCTTCAATGCTGACATAGTTCCCATGCATCCATGGTCGTCCAAGAAGTAGATTGTATCCAGTGTCTTTCCCAACAAAGATATTGGCATAAGTTTTGACTTCTCCACAGTATAAAGCCACATTGTTGACTAGACCATCAAGTCTACCAAATCCTCCATTGGCATCTTTGACTACAGGTCAAATACTAGTATCCATGGGAAGGCGAATGAGATTTTCCCAAATAGTGCAGCTGACTATATTGAGGGCAGACCCTGAATCAACAATTGCTGTAATAGTTTTGCCAGTAGAGGTAACAGGGACACAAATGAGGTCGACATGAGTGATGGCAAGAAGTGATTCAGGTGTCAAGTTTTGGGGCTTGTTGTCTAGTCTAAGATTAACGCACTTGGGTTTTATCATTTCTTGGAGATTCTGGGAAACTTCTTTTGATAGACTAACGACATTATCAATAGATAGTGGGATAGGGGTGCTGAGAATTTGATCAATGATGGCTTTGGAGTCAAGATTCTGCAAAAATGTAGATAAAGTCTTGAGTGGTTTCTTCTATTTATTGGCAGGGGGATTCTTCTTGGCGGTCTGAGAAGTATCTTCCATAATTACATTGTCATTAGTGGGATCAAAGATAGGCTGTGCAATATCAAAGATGTGTGGCTTTGATGGAGCAGGTGCTATGGTTGGAACAACAGGCTTCTCTTCTTCTTTCTTCTTTTTTTTTATAGCTTTGGCCCAATCTGGCCTAGGAGGAATGTAGACACCATCAAAGATTTGCTTGCACTTCTCCTTAGACACTCTGTCTGGATGATCCACTATATAAACATGCTTTTTATCTGAATCAGAATCAGAGTCAGCTACTTCAGCAATGAACATAAAAGAAGTGGTGGTGAGGAGGTTAGACTTGGGGATAGTGCAATGTACAGCAGTTGCTATGGGTTCCTCTCTTGATTGCATGATTCTAGACCCATTAGACATGACAAAGCAACCAGTGTCATTCTTCTTGCCAATTCCTTTTGACAGTAAGTCAAGCATATCTGCACATTCATTGATTCCATGACCAGTTTTTCCGCATTCATAGCAAAGGAAGGGAATACAAGGTGCTGTAGGCAGAGTGGCAGTGGGTGGAGCAGTAGGCTGAGTGGGTAAGTTGCTGCTTCCTTGAGAGGATTGAGATGGTCTGGCTGACTGGTTCATGAAAGTGGGAGGGCAAAGTATAAGTTGAGCATCAGTGTCAAGCTTGATAGCATGATAGTAAAGCAGAGAATAGTTAGGATCTTCAATTGTCATAGACCCAGCTTCTTGATAAGGGTTTCTACTCCATCCTGCTTGACAGCAGTGTGCTTTTCTTTGTCCAAGGAGTGAAGGGTTTTCTTCAACTTGGAAGGACTCAACAGCTTTCTCTCTTTCTCTGTCTCAGAGGTGTGCTTTTTCTCTTTCTTCTGCTTGGTGGTTCTCCTGATATAATGAGGTGGTTCTTCCTCTTTGTCAGAGTCAGAAGAATTGTCTGAAGAACTGGAAGAGTTCTCTGAATCCAAGTCTGAATCCAAATCATCAGAGTCAAAATCTTCATCATCAAAGCAATATCTGCGAAGGACATGCTCTACAGCCTTGACAACATCATCAAAAGCAAAAGGCTGGGAGAGATCAAAGGTAGGATCCCTCTGAAGGAGTCTGTTTTCAACACAATGACAAAGGGTTTTGGGTAGTCCTTTCCAGAAGAAGCAATTGAATACGTCCTGAGTGATCTTGGATTTGGCAAGAAGCCATCCACCAACGCGAACATACTTCCTCATGTAGCTCTTGAAATTGTCCAGAGAGCCCATTCTCTTCTTGTGCAAAGCATCAACCAACTGTTTAAGATGATGCTCTAAAAATTTGGCCTCTGCCTTTGCAGCATCAAAGTACTGGAGAATTTTATCTTTGAGACTGTTCCATGAGAGTGTAATGAAGTGCTTTATTCCTTCAATGATTTCACGAATATATGTGGAGCAGTATTGGAGAATGCTTGAGCATTTTTCATTGTCAGGAGTGACATTGTTTGCATGACAGATGCACTCATATAGTGGAGAACAAAATCCCTGACACGAGTATAGTCTCCCTTGAACTTCTTAGGAGCATAACAAGTGCCAGGAATTGGCATAGTGATGACTGAGAGAGTAGTAGGTTGATTCATAATGGAAAATATAGAGGGTAAACGCGAAGCTTGCTGAGTAGAAGCTGGTACCAAAATTGAGTTACTGGAAGAGAGGGATAGGACAGATAAAGTGGTTGGTGAGATAGAAGGTGTAGATGATAAATTAGACAGTGATGGCGATGAAATGGTTGGGATTTAGCTTGAAGGAAACCATTCCTTGCGGTGGGCTCCAATTGTCGATGATGAGAACTGTTGTTAGAAAACCACACACAAAAACAAACTAACACACAATCCTCCCAGATTCCACGGAATGTTACACACAAAGTGCTTAACAAAGTCTGAGGGTTTGTTGAGGTTTCAAGGGAGACTTAGACTTATCCGAAGACAAGTTCGAGAATGCAGTTCTGAATAGAGTTCTTCCAATGAGAGTTGGTCTTCTTCTGAGTAGAAGTCTGATCTTAGGAGTCTAGCTTTGTAAGTGTAAACTGCGTAGAATTGTAATAGAGAATACTACTACTGTTACATGTGTATTTATAATGGAAAGAATTGGTGATAGGAGTTAGGTCCTATCTAGGGCAGGTCCGTCCGTTGAGGACTAAGTAGGTAATGCAAATGCGAGAGGAACGGAAGTGTACATGAAGGAAATGAGTCATTGGTCCAATGGTATAACTGGTGAGTAAAGAGAAATGAGTAGTCCTTAAATGTCCAATAGAAATTGTAACACGGAACTTGTTTATGGGCTTTGCCTCCTAGACCAGTGGGTGCTCTGGTTGTTCATGGGGTGGTATGTATGACAATCCTTCAATATAAAACCCAGAGATGTATGGGTGTGGGTTTTTGTGAGGCAACGATAAACTATAACAAAAACAATACCCATCTCCTTCTGCACTTGCAGGGAGTAAGAGGTACAGTGAGCTTGAGGTTGACAGATGCTAGTAAATATAGCAAGTAGAGGACTTGGAAGTAAACTCAAGGGTTTTCAATGAGGAGTAAAGTGGATAATCCAAGTAACAGAAAGCCAAAGAACTATACATGAGTATGTAGGGTTTTTATAGCTAACTGTCTATCTCTCAGACCAAAAGAGGAGTAATAGAAAGGTGGTCTGAGGAGAGAATCAACCAATAAGAAAAAGGAGAACTATTGTATGACTTTAAGGATTAATCAGCAGGTGAGAGAATGTACTAATAATAAGTATTGTCATGCGTGTTCAGGAACTGTATCCTCATGATGAGATACAATCCTGACTAAGGCATTTATTAATATCTCCAGGCATTAATGGGGCTTGGAGCTGGTTGGCAAGATGGATGTCTACCAGCAGTCCTTACCCATTGTGCTGGCTGGCTGGGAGTAATACCCAGTCTCTGATCTGCAATATAAAGTGGTAACAATGGTTGAGAAAGCCTGTGAGGGCTATAAGAAGTAAAATAGCAAACAGTACCTCTAGCCCTAGAGCCAGAGGTGTAATGGGAAAAGTGTTCGAGAACCAAGACATGGGCATCAGGAAAAAACCCTTTTGCTATATAGCGCTATATAGCCACCACCTATATATATAAATTAACTTTGGTGCATGACATCAGCAGTCCAGAAAACTGACCAAAAAGTGGATTGCTGTTTGAGAATTTTATTCTAAGAATCCCTCAACTCCTAGGAAGCTTAGAGGCATGGATTCAACACTTTTTAATTCCCTTTTTTAACCTATGCCCAAAAGTATAACTACCACCTCCAGTACTTGGTCTCACCTGGAAGTCCTCAGAGGGGGGGGTAGTGTTACAATACATAATTTTTCGACCTTTAATTTTCATTCTCCTCTACATCCTTCTTTCTCATTTTTCACACACTTGTTCCATGCAGCACTTTCCTTTTTGTTCAAACTCCACCTTCTCGGGCCGCGCTGCCTTTTCATTATTTTTAGCTACAAGTCTCTCACGCAGCGGAGCTGGTCACACGGGCTGCGCCCTCTGATATCATCAGCCACTGCTTTTATCAACTGTACAGTACATAAGTACAAACACTCTGTATTAGTATATAAACCCCAATAGATCCAGGAGACTCCTTAGCAAGTCCTCTTGTTGTATCCTCACAACTAACTCACTGCAGCCTAAAGGGTAACCACTCCCTCATCACTACCTTTATAGTGTGTCTAAGTGTGGGCCAGAGTAACTAACTCTTGGTTGTTACAGCTGAATGGAAATCAACCATGATCTTGTTCCCTGATACTCCTGACAACACACACCTAATCCAGTACTGTGATGTGCTGTCAGCTATCAGAACTCTCCTGGGGAATTCAGCGCATGCTGAAAATATAGTCTATCGTCCCAAAAAGGTTTTTACCAATGCAAGTAGAGATTGTATACCATGAGATGTGAACAGGGAAATGGTAGCATGCTATTCAGGTGAACATGGCCTGTGTGAATCTTCTACATTGACTTATATAATATTTGGAATAGGCTCATCTACCATCTGGGGCAGCCTTGGTGCCTGTTATCATTGCAACAGACAAAACCCAACTCATGCAATTCTCCAACTCTAAATCAGCTTATCCTGTCTATCTCACGTTGGGGAACATACCCAGAGTCATAAGACACAAGCCAAGCCAACATGCTTGCATTCTCATAGCATACCTGTCAGTTAATAAAGTTATGGGATCTCAGCTTACTGCAAAGGAGAAGTCATCAAGGGTTCAGTGTCTATTCCATGAGTCTATGAGGATCATACTAAAACCTTTGAAGAAGGCTGGCATTGAAGAGATCAACATCACTGGGGGTGATGGGGCTGTCAGGAGAGTTCATCCTGTTTTGGCTTGCTATGTCAAGAACAATGTCTAGTAACATGTACAAAGTACGGTACCTGTCCCAAAGAAGTCATCAGAACACTAGAGCTAATACAAATGCCTCCAATCAACTTCAAGAGAGATGTAAGGATAAAAATGTCTCTGGTGGTGTTTATGAGCTATTTTGGCTTAACTTCCCTCATTGCAACATTTTTTTATCTATCTCACCTGACATTCTCCACCAGCTATACCAAGGTGTATACAAACACATGGCTAACTGGTGCAAGGATCTCATGGATCCTAAGGAGGTTAACTAGCACATTTCCTCCCTTCCTGCTTGCTAGGATATTTGATTAGAGCGCTATACTTGCATAGCAATCCCTTCTGGACTTTATCCAGATAGCATAGTATCCCACTCACAACAACACCACCCTAAGCTACCTTTCTGATGCTTTGGACATTTTTCACAAACACAAAGATATATTGGTATGGCTTAACATGGGAGAACACTTAAACATTCCAAAATTCCACTCTCTCCTTCATTACCACCAGTTTATTACATGGTTTGGAACCACCAACAATTACAACACCAAGATGTTTGAGCATTTCCATATTGACTTTGCAAAAAAGGGTTGGAGGGCTTCTAATACAAGAAATGAAGCACCACAAATAGTGGAATGGCTTCTGCATTGGGAAAAGGTGATTGCTTGCCAGAGCTATTTGAAAATGACCATGGATAATGAAGAAGACAAATTCCCTCACTCCAAAATCCAAGACCAAAGGCTTGTCATGGCAAAATACCCTAATCAATGTCAGCAAAGCATTTTTGACATCATGGAGAAGCATCAGTGTCCTGGATTTGAATCAGCACTCAAAGTCTTCCTTAACAGTAAACTAACTCACCCAAATACACGTAGTGAAACCAGATTCTACCACTTCCATTTCAAAACCTCAATATCTTCTATGGCTTCAAATTCTGTTTAGATAGCCTAGGCAACAATGTCAACCTGGAGAATAATCAGATAGATTCTGTTAAAGCCAGGCCATCTGCAAAAAACAGCCTATTATCACAGTTTGATACAGTTATTGTAATAGACTCTCCTGAGTGTGAGGTTACAGGTGTAAAAGGTAATCTTTATTTTACATTGTAACCCCATGTCTAATACTAATAGCTATATTCAAGGAACAAAAGTTGGAAGACTGAGAGTAATATTTGAACTACCTGAAACATTATACGTCTTCCATGCATCCCCCCATAATTGACCAAAGCATCATCTGGCATATGTAGAATGGTATAGTAACCTCAGACCTACTGCTGAAAAGGACCACTTAATGTACGCTGTTAACAAGGTACCTCTAAATGCTGAAGGCTTTTTTCCAGGACACATTATCCCAACTTATTCCTGCTTTTGGTGGTTTGCATGATATATACCCTTATTATTGGACCTATAATAATGTTCTGGATGTTTGCCACAAACTTTACCTCAATAATTCTAGTAGTAAATATACATATCAATCTTTATGGTAGTTGTAATTTTATAGTGTTTCAAACTTTGCTACAATAGGACTACAGTTGCTCTGAGAGTACTATAGATGCTATAGGTACTATAAGAGTCTTTATTTACACATATGTACAAGCCCCCCTGCTATATAGGGAAAGGCTTTTTCCTGATGTAATGAAGAAGACTCACCAATAATCCCAGCATCTGTGTTCCTATATTAAATAAAAATGCTGACAAAAAACATAAAGCTAGCACTAGCACTCAACACCAACTGGAACTTTGCCAGACAAACCAAAAAGGAAGATTGGAAACTAATACAAAACCAATTATATTACAAGGATAAAGCCCTTGTTGAGCCCACAGGACAAAAAAAGCAAATAATTATAGACAATTGCGACTTTGTCACAGCGGGACACCCTGGCAGATTAAAAACCTACCAATTAATCAACAAGATTTACTGGTGGCCATGGATGATGAACCAAGTACAGAAATACATGAAAGGATGTGCAGTGTGCCAACAAGCAAAAGTAAACACCCATCCAACAATTGTACCACTCATCCCAAACCAAACACAAAAACACTAAACCAATGAAGTTTTTAGCAGTAGACTTTATCATCGACTTACTTGTTTTGCTAGGATTTGACAGCATAATGGTTGTGGTAGACCAAGGACTTAGTAAGGGGGTCATCCTCTCACCGTGCACAAAAACTACAGATGCCATTAAAACTGCACAACTATTCCACGACTTGGTTTTTAAAAGATTTGGACTTCACAAAATACTCATCTCCAACCGTGGTCCGCCAATTTGCTTCAGAAGTCTTAAAGGAACTCAACATACTATTGAACATTGAAACCACCCTATATTTAAGGGTCTTCTGTCAAAATCAGCCGCATGACTGGGAAAAATATTTCACAGCCGCCAAATTCTGCCACAATCAAAGACCCTATTCCTTTACTAATACATCACCTTTCTATCTCCTCATGGGATATAAACCAAAAGGAATCCAAACAAATACCGGAACATTAACATACCCTCTGTCAAAAAATGATTATCTGAACTCCTTCAATCCAGAAAAAATGCGCTCAAAGCACACAAACTCGCCAAAGCAAAGATGGCAAAACAACAGAAAATTCACCAAAATCTCTATTAGACAAAAGGTATGGTTAAAAATCACCAACCTAAAAGACAAAACCACCAAATACAAGAAGTTTAACATGAAACAGATTGGACCCTTCTGAATCCAAGAAAAGATCTCCCCCCGTTAATTACCGCCTATTCCTGCCTGCCCATTGGAAAACACACAGTATCTTCTGTATTAGGAGACCCACACCCATGGACCAAACTTCCTGAGACCCCCTCCTGATTTCGTAAATGAGGAAGAAGAATACAAAGTTGAAGCTATTCATAGGTGCAAACCCTGGAAATGAGGCCGCCACTATCTCATCAAATGGCGCCATTACCCTCATTCTGAGAATTTGTGGGAACCAGAAGACCACTTAGACAATGCTGTGGAGATATTGAAAGACTATAAAAGGGCTCACAAATTATGATAAAGGTTCAAACCAAAATCCAACCCTCTTCACTCACAATGTCTATCTTATGCTCCACTGGTTTTCTCATCACCACCTACACCATCCCAGGAGAGGTGGACATGTCAGCCAAAAATGCTCATGTATATTTATTTAATGAAACCAGAAAATAAATCCCTGATGCCTATCACACATTGACTCTCTTTCTCAACTTCAAATCCATTGATCTTATCGCTGACAAACTCCTAATAGCCATAAACTCATTATGTTCATTGGAAAACAAGCATTTGCTGTGCAAGAATTAAAACTCAAATACCTGTGGGGCACTCCAGATGGAAAGTTAGTTTTGGAATCTTTGGAACAACACTTAAGGATGAGTTGCTTGACTGGGCTGATGGATGTGGAAAAGGGATATTTGGAATTAGGAGGGAAGAAGTTGCTAACCGAAGTGCATATGCAAATAGATTGCAGCAGTTATTTGACTATTCCTCTACCTAGTTTATGCCACCCCCACCTGTTATACCCAGAGCAGATGGCTGCTTCCCCGGAGCCCATCTTAACCACTAACACCCTGTCCAAGCCACCCTATTGTCAGAAAGACATATTCCTACTGTCCCAACAAGTCTGATATTGAACCCCTCAGGTCACCCTTTCAATGGGTCAACCCAAAGCTCCCTTCTTCCTCAACCAGTATCAAACACCCAAACACATTGTCTGATGAACCGGTGAGGAGCCCAACACAGCCATCAAGGACTGATAATCCAAATATCTGCCACCAAAACTCCCTTGACCAGATAGTCACAACAATCCAAGAGTCTAAAAGGCAATTGTTACGATCTCTATTGGACATTTCAGGACTACTCATTTCTTTTTACTCATCGGTTATACCATCGGACCGATGACTCATTTCCTTCACGTACACTTCCGTTCCTCTCGCATTCACAGTACCTATTATAGTACTTAGTCCTCAACAGACGGACCTGCCCTAGATAGGACCTAACTCCTATCACCGATTCCTTTTCATTATAAATACCATGTAACAAGCAGTAGTATTCTCTAATACGATTCTACGCAGTTTACGCTTACAAAGCTAGACTCCTAAGATCAGACTTCTACTCAGAAGAAGACCAACTCTCGTTGGAAAACCTCCACTCAGAACTACGTTCTCGAACTTGTCTTCGGATAAGTCTCTTTATAAAACCTCGACAAACCCTCAGACTTTGTTAAGCACTTTGTGCGTAACAGCAATCCACCTGGAGGAATGCACAAGCTACAAGATGCTGAGGTGATTATAGATGTGGAGAATGCTCCTCAGGCTGGACCATCCACTGCTCTGTCACCACCTGTTGTCTCTGCACATTCCGGACAATACATTTGCTTGCCATCACACTACACAGACTTCTTTCCTGGTAATTTCACTGGCCTTTGTCAGGCTATACATCCGCCCTCATCTCCTGCATCCTCACGTTCTTCATCTCCCCTAGCTCTACATCAAACAGAACCAGATCACATGGGTCTTTTCTGTGTCTATCCTACACATCCAACATTTATTCCTCATCCAACATTTATTCCTGACATGCAGTCAGACCTTACAGCTGTTAGATGCTTCAACTCTGGAGCAACACTCTCCATCACCTTCACATCAACTCCACGGTGTTGATGATGAGAACTGCTGTTAGAAAACCACACACAAAAACAAACTAACACACAATCCTCCCAAATTCCACGGAACTTGTTTATGGGCTTTGCCTCCTAGAACAGTGGAGTGGTCTGGTTGTTCGTGGGGTGGTACGTATAAGGATCCTTCAAAGTAAAACCCAGAGATGTATGAGTGTGGGTTCTGAGGAGGAGGGATAGTTGAATTTATAGAAGATAGGGGGCTTAGTGACAAGTATAGATGAGCACTACCTTGCTAATTGTAGCACAAGGTAGGTTTGAGAATGATGAGATAATGAGGTTCCCAGTGATAGCAGGCTCCTGACGCACAAACTGTAGTGCTCAGAAGGACTCTAATTGAAGGGGATGACAATCACTTTCAAAAAGTGACAAGTGACGATGACAGCAGTTAACAGTGGTAGAAGTGGGAAGTGTTGTGACCACACTGGATCACAAGTAGCAGAGTAGTGAACTTGAGAGCAGAGAAGAAGTCTGGATTGGATTTCTTGTTCTTTTTTTTTACAAGGTAAAATACAGGGGTTTATATAGTAAAAGAAAAGTAGGCTATGCACAGTATAGCCGTGCAAAAAGAATGAGAAAGAACATGAAGGAAGGAATGTACGCTGACAAATCCTGCATAGGTAGTACAGGATAAGATTGTCAAAAAAAGGAAAAGAAAGGGATAGAACAATGAATGCTGTGAGTAATGTCACAGGTTTGTACAGCCATAAAGTAAAGTCCAATAGCAGAAAGAGAGCAAGAAAATCATAATGTCATAGGAAGATGCAGTAAAAAAAGGGCAAGGCAAAACAATATAAGTATCAACACAGTTCCTTTATTGTCAGTCAGGCATTCTAAAAAATATGTGTCCATAAAAATGATTCAAAAATCAAAAATAATAGCACTGTAAATGAATGTTCTGCTGAAAAAAAAGAAACTGGAGCCACCGGTCCACCACCTAGTCCAAATCCGACAGTTCCATGGCCTTACCAATGGACTGGTTGTGTTGGACCACCTGATCAAACGAGGGAGGGAGAGGAGTAGTTCCAATTTGGAACAAGTGAGTCCCAGGCAGCGTGTGGTAGGTGTAGCTGTAGCAAAGACGATGGACAAAAGATAGGTGTACCCAAGTGAATGGGACAGCAATGAACATGGGCAACGCAAGGGGATGAACCTTCTCCAGCTCAAAAACTACCCACCCACGCTCCAACCAGGCAAGACAAGCGACCAATGTTTTGATAGTATATGATGGCAGATCGACATCATGAAGATGGACCTGTTGCCCTATTTGGACCGGCCGCCGGGGCTTTGCTGATATCAGCAGTGGCACGTGGTAGTCAACGGATCAGCGACGGAAGCGGATAGGAAGTGGTGACATCAGAAATGGTGAGGGTGCAAATAAGATGAGGAGGAGGAGGGTGGAGGTGACGAAAAAGTGGATTAGAATGGGGATCCAGAAACGACTGTCAGGTGAGAATAAAAAGGAGAGGAAGGGGCTCATGGTGGGGCTAGGCAAAGGAAGGGGAGTAAGGGAAACGACAAAAGTGAGGGCACAATGCAATGTGTAGCCAGTGGCGACGCGAAAATTTGCCGAAATGCCGAAATGCCGAAAGTACCGAATGGAAAAGCAAAGGTGAGCGTGACTGGATTGCCTAATAGAGGTGGTGCTGATCAGCCACAAGTTTGAAACAGGCAATATTAATTACTATTCCATGTGGCACTGTGCCTGTGTGGCGCAAAGGCGAGTCTTTTTGAATATTTGCTTCATTATTGACACCTGTCCATGCTACCAATCCACTTTGGTGCATGACAGTGAGCACGGAACTGTGGATCTTGTGTAAGAATGATAGCTGCTTGATTGTCACAGTGCAATGTTGTAGGTCCATTTTGAGCATATCCAATTTCTTCAAAAAATGTCCAAAGCCATGCAAGGTGTTGTCCAGCATTGCTCAATCCAATGCACTCTGACTCCGTGGAGGATAAAGCTACCATGCTTTGTTTTTTGCTTGTCCAGGAGATTGCTCCTCGGATAGTGATGAAGACAAACCCTGATATTGATTGAGACATTTCTGGGTCTCCAGACCAATCTGCATCTGAATATCAATAGAAATCCATGTCCATGGAGACATCTGTGCCATCATATTGTACTTCCATGTCCCTGATTGCTTTCAGATATTAGAGGACACATTTTGCAGCTTCCCAGTGATGGCTCCTTGGAGCTGAGCTATGCCTGCTTAGTATTCCAACAACGTAGGCAATGTTTGGGCGGGTTCCGAGCATGCCATACATGAGGGAGCCTACAATTGAGAGGTATGACACTTGACGCCCTTCAATATGCATCTCATGTTGCACAATATCTTCCCCTGGAGCATTTGCAAGGAGTTTTGATCCATGGGCCATTGGTGTCCATACTGGTTTGCACTTCTTCATTCCAGTACACTCCAGGACTGTGTCAATGTATTGGCATTGCAATAGGGATATTGTTTTGTTTGAACGATCACGTTGGATTTCTATTCCGAGGATGTATTTTGCTTCTCCAAGGTCCCGCATTTTGAATATGGATTCGAGTTTGGCTTTTGTGATATCCATGAATTTCCAGGATGAAGCTCCTAGGAGGAGGTCATCTACATAGACAACAACAAAGCATATTTGTTTGTTGTCCCGGAATACATAGAGACATATTTCTGCATTTAGTCTTGTGAAACCGAGCTCCTAGAGCTTGCGATCAAAAGTTTTGTTCCATGTACAACCAGCTTGTTTTAACCCGTAGATGGATTTCTTCAATCTCCAGCAGTATCCAGGTTGGATAG